GGAACAGCATTGTGGCCAACCATCGCCAGTACACGGGACGGAACATCGCCCGACCGTTCACTACCATTGGGTCGTTGGGGTCGGTGTAGGCCTGAGTGGTGGCGCCGAATATGCAGTTCGCTATGACATCCATCGCATAGCACGCGTACCACCACTTGATGTCCACCACTCGCTCGGGTAGGGCTTTGGTGCGCACGGCGTCCACAAACTGGTCCAGCGATCGGTTCATCAGTTCACACACTCGACGCAGTTTTGCCGTAGAAAAGCTGGGAGTGGCAGTTGTGCGCAGGCGTCGCCACTCTTCACCGCGCGACTTCAATTTATTTAAATTAATTATTGCATTTAAACAAATCAGTCATATAATAGATATATTTTAGTTTAAATTTAATAATATCAGCTAGTATACTGTATGTACATTACCAGACCTACAGATACAAACGCGCTTTAGGTGCTCACATTAATTGAAATGCAATGGCAATTCTCTATAAAAATATAAATATACATAGGGGCAAACTGTCCCCCGATTACGTGTGTACGGTATATGTGAACACATAAAATGCGTTCGTATCTATAGCCTACCATGGTAGTTTATTTGACAATAAGAACATTTAATAAAATGCTAACTCATAATACTTTTATAAATACCACATACCTGTGATATAATGAGATCGGCCACCGGGTGTCTGGCGTTAGAGCCCGGGCGACGGGTTTGATACACGTGAAAGTCTTTTACCATAATCTGTTTGACGAGCTCCGGGTCGCCGATTCTCAGTATCGGTTTATTGCCCTCAAATACACTATATTTTATAAGTAAGAGTACGATAGAATTATTACAATTAACATAGAATATAAATTTTGTGTATTTTTTAATTTAAATCGTTAAAGCTAATTTACCCGTATACTTTGCCGTATTTTTTGTAACGTTGCAACTCTAAGTCGGGCATCGAGGTGAAATACATTTCCCAGAGGTTGCCAACACCCGGCAGAGGTCGGGGCCCTCCAATACCTTGCTTGGTAAAATAGCTAAAGTTTCGCGTAAAGTACCTAAGTAAAATAACAAAATATAAAAATTGATAACAATATTTATGTTAACGTTTATATATTTTTGTTTATATTTACAATAAACAAGATCTAGCTGGTCTATTATTTATAACATCCAAATAATATAAATTATATTTACCAGTAAAGCAAACCGAGGCTTATAATGCTCCACATGAACCACGAATTTATCAAATAAGCCATTATTTTAAGACAAGTTTTATATATCATCAACTATCTTAATGTACAGTACATTAATTAATGCTTGACAAACATCTCTTTATATACTTTTATGAATCTCATATGTCATCATAATAAGTAAGGCTTCCAATTTTCGGGAATTCCCGAATAAAATAGTTAACAAAATCATCGAGAATTATATACCATTAGGTTTAGAGGTTATAATAGACCAAAAATATATAAGTTTTATTTTCCCAATTTTGGCTTATTTTAGGAAAATTCCCGATTTTAGCATATTTTTAAAAAAATTCCCGAAAAGTCTATTTTTATGACAAATATTCCCGAATTTAGATATTTTTCAACGAAAATTATTTATTTAATAATTATAATATTTAACCAAAAACTCTAAACTGAATATGACTGAAATCAAAACATGTTTTGTAATCCACATGATGTCTTACAAAATATATATTGATTATCTCCGTCGAAGTCTAGCGTTTTTTCTTTCAATTTAACCCTGAGCAATTTAAAGCTTAAACTATAACTATGAACGTTGTAAATAAACTGGGATGGTAATCACCCAGCAGTTTATGCATAATATGGGATATTACTATCCTATGCATTAGTGTGTTTTATGCTGGGAGACTATTCTCCCAGTTTATGCAGTTTAATGCTGGGAGATGAATCTCCCAGTTTGCACAATAGACGCACAATAAGATTAGCACTGTTTATACTAAAGGAAAAAAGTTACATTGCGTATACACTGGGAGAATAATTACCAAAACTTTAATTAAACTATAATAATTAATTAATCATATAATTTATGATTATAAAACTTTACATATTTATAAATCTAACTATTTATGAGGCATTATTGGATTTTTTTCTAGCTAGCACTCTTCGTTGATTTTTAATTGAAATTTAAAGTGCAAATGGGAAACTAATCTCCCAGTTTAAGCTTCCAGGGTTAAGATTATTCATAGAGATAGAAGACTGAAAAAAGCTCAAATTTAATCTCATTATCAAATATACTTCATTTATAAATGATTTATATGTATAATGATTATGTTATAATTAAGTAAAATCGTATTTCCCGAATTTTCCCAAATTTGGCCTTTTAATTTCCGAATTTGGATGTTTTTCTCCCAGAAAATGGAAGCTTTAATAATAAGTTATAAAGTAATTACAGAGAAAAATAACAAATTTTCATGACAATTAATTTTATTAGACGTAACAAAAATAATGCAGATATGATGGTAAAATTCGTTTGTAATTGTAACTAATTGATCAGGATCACCTAATAAATGTAAATAATTTTTATTTATTAAATGTAATCTATTAATCTAACTTATTAATTTTGAAATATAATACGCCACAAAAGTTTATGTAGACTAATTGCTTTCTTTATGACTAGTTTTAAATTAAATAACTTTAAAGTTCTGTTTGATAAATTAAAATGGGGATCAAATCAAACCAACATTGTTAAACTCCTTTTCTACAATTACTGTTTATTAATAATGAATCATTATATACGCTATTCCTAACGTATGAAAAGTGTCTAAAACACAGCATAGCAACAGCATTACATTACATTACTTGACATCACATAGCAAGATTAATATAAAATTTTGTTTTTAGTATTGGCTTAAATTGGTGCATAAAGAACAAATTAAATTAAATAACTTTAAAGTTCTGTTTGATAAATTAAAATGGGGATCAAATCAAACCAACATTGTTAAACTCCTTTTCTACAATTACTGTTTATTAATAATGAATCATTATATACGCTATTCCTATTGTTTCGGGCGCCAAACTATATAAAAGAGTGGCCATCTGTTTTGATTTTTGTAAAATAAAATTTGCACTGAAATGTATTGCAAACAAAAGGGTCCCAAAAAACACACTTTTTGGCGTAGTTTATGGCACTTTATGGTCTCCAATACATTTCAGTGCAAATTTTATTTTACAAAAATCAAAACAGATGGCCACTCTTTTATATAGTTTGGCGCCCGAAACAATAACGTATGAAAAGTGTCTAAAACACAGCATAGCAACAGCATTACATTACATTACTTGACATCACATAGCAAGATTAATATAAAATTTTGTTTTTAGTATTGGCTTAAATTGGTGCATAAAGAACAAAAATTATATTACATTTCAAAAACAAATGTTGCAAATAACCAATTATTGTTTAAAATATCTAGCCATAGATAGTTATAGAGATTTTAATTACGAAATTTTGTTATACAATAAAGTACCAGGATATAAAATGTTTTGAAATGTATGAATGTTATTTCATGTAAGGTATAAAAACAATATTATTTGTTTAGAAATCATCACGTACATAATGTAAATACATTACACTACATATATATTATCCGGGTATTATTAAAATATCAAGTATGAATTATAAGTTTTTCAATTAACTAACTCAATTATAACATTACAATAATTTTTAACCACAATTCAGCTATGAATAATGTGATTTACAGGATTCATTATTATAATATGTGCAGAACGATCCTATAATTGCTAAATCTCATGCTAATGTTTAACCATAGGATTTAGCAGGTATTCTATGTTTAATCCTATATAGTGGAGGAGAAGTGAACAGAACAAACCTATAAACAACATCCTGTACAAATAATTTATGGATAAAATATTAATTTGTAAGAGATATATATATATATATATATATATATATATATATATATATA